TATCCTATTTTTGTCACTGTAGTTCTCCAACCCCTGCTTAACAATGTCCTTATATTAAATTTTCTTTTAAAATAACTGGTGTACTTTTCCTGACTGGTCCCTGACTGACAAAGCCAGCCAGTAAGGGCAAACTATCTAGTTAATCCCCTTTGCTAGTCCGATTTTTATCAGAACTTAACATCTGTAACAGCAGTAATCTATGTAACTCCGTTCCAGATTCAGACAAGGAAGGTGTCTGTTTTTTTCAACCAAACATTTCACAAAGATAGTCCGTGTATGAAATCACTGAGCATGCTAGGAAGGTTATTCTATTGATCTAAAGTTTAGATTCTAAACAGTGAAAGATAGAAAAAAAAATACATATGGTTTTTATTACAAGATTTCAGGCATCCATAAAAATCAGATATAGCCGAAACCGGTTTGGCTCAGTGGATAGAGCGTCGGCCTGCGGACTGAAAGGCCCCGGGTTCGATTCCGGTCAAGGGCATGTACCTGGGTTGTGGGCACATCCCCGGTGGGGGATGTGCAGGAGGCGGCTGGTCGATGTTTCTCTCTCATCGATGTTTCTGACTCTCTATCTCTCTCCCTTCCTCTCTGTAAAAAAATCAATAAAATATTTTTAAAAATCAATAAAATATATATATTAAAAAAATCAGGTATAATACTATTATAAACTCTCCATTTACCCATCATCCGGTTCAATTATTGTCAACAAATGATGGATTTTATTTCATTTACTTTATTCCTCCACCCACACTGGATTACTTCAGAGCATACTGCAGACGTATTTCACCTGTAAGATCCTCAGTATGACTTTCTACTGAAGTAGAAATTTCAGTTGAATTTCCCAGTCTTATATACTTCTTTTTATAGTCTGTTCAAAATAAAATCCAAATAATGCCCCTTTAATCTTTTAAACCTACAAGAGTGCACTCTTCCTCCTCCTTCACTTGGCATTTATTTGAGGAAATTGGATCATTGGTCTCGCAGAACTTCCCATGTTCTGTATTTGGCAGACTGTATCCCCTTGGTGTCATTTAACCTGTTCTTCTATCCCCTATGTGAACTAGCACATCTCAAAGCTTGACTAGATTCAGATTCACTTATTTTGGCAAGAATACTTAATATGTAATGTGTCAAATATATTTTACAGCACAGTTGGTTTGGACTAACATACTGCTTCTCATAGGTCTGGTTGTTTAATTTACTACTAGTCTTTTCAGATTGTATAGAGTCTGTACTATAGACAGACCTTTTAACTCGCAATTCTTGGAAGCACTGTCATCTACTGAAACTGAACCAGAGTTTGCTAACACCTTGAAGCTTATGAAATATTATTCTTTCCTTTGCTGGGAAGTCAAGTGAGTACCACACACTGCCATCTATTATAAAGATTCCTTTGCCTTTTATTTTTTTATTTTTATTTTTTTTAATTGGGAAACTATTCAATTGGGTGGCCCAATTCAGTTAGGTATTTTCATATGTCTGGGTAGAGGTGAGTGAGAAAATGTTTGGTGAATTTAATAAAAGGAAGCCTTATACTAAGTACATAAGCACATCATGTACTAAAAAATGTTTAACAGGCCTTCTAGTTAACAATCGTTTGAAATAGAATTTAGTAGGAGGTAGCAATGTAATGTCTATATTTTGTAGGCACTGGTAACCACTGTGGTTTTTGAGCAGGGAAGCTATATGATGAAAATGTGTTTTAATGGAAGACATCACTGGAAATATTTAGGATTTAAGGCCAGAAGAGCAGGAATTGTGAATTTGAAGGTAATCTGATATAGAATTGTTTGGATACAGCTACAGAACCACCTGAATCGACAAGTACATCTGTCTTGTGTTGAAAAATGTTTGACAAATTTTGTAGCTGGGAATTTCAACTCACTCCACAAAGTATCTAGTGACTGCAATGAACAAAGCAAAAACAGAAAATAACAATCATACATATACACAGCAGCTAATATGAAACATAAATAAAACCAAGCCACCATTCTACCCTCAAACTCAAATGACTTCCCTTTACACGTGGGCTAAACCCCAGAGTTGGTCCCATGACCTCCCGGGCACCCTGAGAAAGCCCGCACTGCCTGACCTCATTTGCTACCACTCTCCTCACTCACTATGATCCAAAGCCCTTGCTCTTCAACAAACAGGGCGAGGTTGTTCCTGCCTGGGCCCTTTGCACTTGCTCTTGCCTCCACCTGAAGTAACTTTCCCCCAAATGTTCACATAATTCACTTCCTCGCCTCATTTAGGCCTTTGGTTCATAGGGCCTCCTCAGAGGCCCACCTGCCCACCCTACAGAAAAGAGCACCCAGCCTGACCCCTTTCCATCTCCTGGCCCTGCTTTTTCCTACGGCGCATGATTATCTGACATTGTGTTACATACTAGTTCATGGATTTCCCTCTAAAAGTAGCTTCTTTGATAGTCCGGCTGGCATGGCTTAGTGGTTGAGCTTCAACCTATGAACCAGGAGGTCACAGTTAGATTCCTGGTCGGGGGCTCCACCCCCAATGGGGGGCATGTCTGAAGTAGATGATCAATGATTCTCTCTTATCATTGATGGTTCCCTCTCTCTCTCGCTCCCCCTCCCCTTCCTCTCTGAAATCAATAAAAATACATATTAAAAACATAAAAGGGACAGAAATTCCCAGTGGATACACCCATGTTTAAAAAAAATAGACTTCTGTTCATTTATCCAGCACCTAAAGCGGCAAAGAATAAGTGCCTCCCAACTATTTGTTGATACATTTAATCAACTATTTCATTTACTAGGCGTACTGGTTAATAAAGTGTATTTTGTAATAAAAAAAAAAAACCACACGATAATTTCAAGAGAAGCATCAAAAGTGCTTTATTTGCACTAGCTGGTTTGACTCAGTGGATGGAGTATCAGCCTGCGGACTGAAGGGTCTTAGGTTCGATTCCGGTCAAGGGCACATGCCCGGGTCTCGGGCTCGATCCCCAGTGCGGGGCGTGAAGAAGGCAGCCAACCAATGATTCTCTCTCATCATTGATGTTTCTCTCTCTCCCTTCCTCTCAAAAATACATATTTTAAAAAGAAGTGCTTTATTCAAAGTAATATCCATCGCTAGCTACACATTTCCCCCATCTTTCAGGTAATTTGTGGATGCCGTCCCAGTAGAACTTTTCTTGTTTTGAGGCAAACCATTCAGAGACCCAACTTTCTACTTCTTCGTATGTTTTGAAGTGCTGCTCAGAAAGTGCGTGTGCCATCGATCGGAACAAGTGGTAATCTGAAGGAGCAAGGTCTGGTGAATATGGTGGGTGGGTTAATACTTCCCAGGCAAGATCTTTTAACGTGTCTTTAACTGGTTTTAAAGTGTGCGATGGTGCATCATCATGAAGCAAAATTACTTTGCCATGTCTTCTGGCCCCTTCTGGTCGTTTTACGATCAAAGCGTGGTTCAAATTGATTATTTGTTGTTGGTAGCGATCAGTATTAACGGTTTCACCTGGTTTTAGAAGCTCGTAATACACCACACCTTCCTGATCCCACCAAACACAAAGCATTGTCTTCTTTCCGAAGCGATTTGGCCTTGCAGTTGATGATGATGGTTGACCTGGATCAACCCATAATTTTGTGCGTTTGGGATTCTCATAATAAATCCACTTTTCACCGCCAGTCACAATTCGATGCAAAAAAGACTTTCTTTCGTGCCGTTGAAGCAACATTTTACTGATGACTTTTCGGTTTTCCATTTGTCTTTCATTCAGTTGATGTGGCACCCATTTTCCTTCCTTTACAATCTTTCCCATTGCGTGTAAACGATCGGAAATTGTTTGCTGAGCAACGTTTAATCTTTCTGCAAGTTGTTTTTGAGTTTGACACGCATCTTCATCCAATAATGCCTGTAATTGTTGGTCTTCAAACTTTTTCGGTTGACCTGGACGTTCTTTGTCTTTCACATCAAAATCATCACTTTTAAAGCGTTTAAACCAGCGTTCACAAGTATCTTGAGATGGAGCATGTTCACCATAAGCTTCCCGAAGTATACGGTAACTTTCAGCAGCACGTTTCTTCAAGATAAAGTAATGAATTAAAACTTCCCGCAAATGCTCTTTTCTTGGCACGAAATTCGACATTTTTAAGCGTAAAAATACCTATGATGTTAACACCGTCAGCAGATTTGACATATGAAGTTTTGAGGTTTGCTGTCAATACAACAAAACAGCATCCATATCAAGTCGCATATACGTATCAACGTATGTGTAACTCCATCTATTGAAAAAAATCCGCATTATGAGGCAGGAGGTAGTGGTGCTATCCTCAGTTTACAGGGAACTATGGTGTACGAAGGTTAAACAAGGATCTGGGAACAAATGTAGGGGGAAATGTCAGCGCTTGGTAACTGATTCCCGAGATGAGTTGTCGGGTTTGCAGCAACAAGGGAAACCCCAACCACCCAGGATCACCAATTAAATAAGCTGTTGGCCCCACAGGAAGAAGGCACGGAGAACCAACGTCCCTTCCCGAAGGACGTGGCTTTCGGTCGCCCTCCCGCCACCCCGCGGGGCTGGCACGGCAGGTACTGTGCAGAGTACAGACAATCATTAACAGCGAGCCTGCCCGCCAGGCCTGGCACCGGGAGCGCCGGCGGAGCCGGCTCTGCACTCACGGGTTCGGACAGTTACACAATTAACACTGGGAACATCCGGCTTCCTCCCACCCCCGGGCGGCGCTCACGTGCCCGGCCTCGCGACCCGCAGCGGAGCCCAGGAGAAGCGCGGCGGCCGGCGGGTCTCGGGCGCGACTCCAGCGCGAGAGGCGGGGTGAGCGGTCCGCAAGCCAGACGCGCAGCGGCACGGGAGTGCGGGGACTCCCGGCGGCCGGCCAGGGGGAGGGTGTGTCCGCGGCCCGGCGCCTCCTCTGATTGGCCGGCGGGATGACGTGCACGCTGACTCTCGGCCCTGAGGCGGTGGGAACGTGCGTCAGCTTTACGCAATCGGAGAGGAAGAAGGGGCGGGTCTGGAGGCTCAGGGCGGCCGCCTATTGGCTGGGAGGCTCCGGAGCCGGAGCCGGGCGGGACCTGGCCTCGCCGGAGATGGGCGGCGCCGCGAGTTTGGTTCAGGAGGTGGGTACCGGCTTCAGTGAGACGATCATGGCAGCTCGAACCGGTCAGAGGGTCCTGAGAAAGGTGGTCTCGGGCTCGGGATGTCGTCCAAAGTCGCCGGTAGCAGCTGGACCCCCGGTTTCGGCGCAGGGGCCTACGCGGAACGTCAGGTAATAAACAACAGGGGCGCCGCGACCCGGGAAGTTTTCCGCCCGGACCAGCGGAGTTGGGGGGGCCTTGGGTCTATGAGTCGATGCGGACCCGGACCCGGAGAGAAAGGTTCCTTGGGTTCTCCATTGGAGAGACTGGGGCGCCGAGTTTATCCGCGGGGGCCGGACGCTCGGCAGCCTATCCCGCCGCCCGGCTGCCCCTGTGGCTCCCTGGCCTCGCGAGAAGCGGTGAATCACCGGGCGCAGCCAGTCTGGGAGCAGCTGATAAAACACGCCGGCCTCGCTGGCCCGGGGCTTTTCCGGTCTCCCTCCCCGCGGGCTGCGGGGCTGGCGGGGCTGGCGCCTGGCCGCGGACCCCTCCTCCTGCCCCTCCTGCCCCGCGAGCCGGAGGACCAGGCGTGCTCTCCCAGTAGCTGGTAGAGGTCTTTGCCCCCGCCCTTTGGTTCTTGCAAAACGAAATGTAGCCGACGTAAGGGACTTGAATTTTTTTTTCCGCTCCACTGTAACTTGCAGGTCCTGTAACCTTGAACCACAGTCTGTCTTGGATTATCCCGGTTGGTTCCTTTTTTGGGGGGGTCGGGTGAGGTGGGGTGGGGTGAGGATGGAGATGGGAGGGGAGGGGGTGGAGAAGGACGTGGAACGTGAAAAATTCCATGCGTCCACCCCTTAGTTTCTGTTTACTTGTGGCAATGGCATTAATGATGCTGGAACATTGAAATGAGTTGTAAACAATACGGAAACGGAGGGAGAACTCACACAGCTAGTTGAGCTCCAGGACATTTAGAGTCTATGAAGCTTTTTTTTTTTTTTTAAATGCCAGCTCATCCTTTTTAGACAAATGTTGGTTGACATGGAAACAAAATCATCGTACATCGTTGACTCCTGCTTCTTCAGAAAATAACCTGGAAAAGTAGTTTCAAACAAAACACACCCTATGGTGCTTTAGATCTGCTTGGATTACTCTTATACAGTATTTGGATTGCAAATAAACAGAACTGTCCCTTTTAGGAAGACAAGTACAACTGCTTTAGTGTCATAATTAAGGCTTAAATTTCAAGATAAATATCTACTGTTTATGATCATGAAGATGGAGGGAGTTTATGAGTTCTTTGCTAGTCACAAGCATTAACATAGTTGTGGCCTGTGAATCATTAACTGATTATTATAATTATACTAGAGGCCTGGTGCACGAGATTCATGCACTGGGAGAGGAGGGGATCCCTCAGCCAGGCCTGCCCCTCTCTCAGTTCTGGACCCCTTGGGGGGGGAGGGGGGGGAATGTCGCCTGCCAGCTTAGGCCTTACCCCCAGCTCCCCATCCCCCCATCCCTCTGGCAGTCGGGGACCCCTTGCACTTTACTGTCCCTGTGCAGCAGAGGTGGGAGAGGCGGGAGAGGTGTGAGCCTGGCTTCTGGCTGAGCAGCGCTCCCGCTGTGGGCAGCTCCTGTGTTGAGCATCTGGCCCCTGGTGGTCAGTGTGCATCATAGCAACCAGTCCTTCTGGTGTTTGGTTGGTTTGCATATTAGGCCTTTATTATATAGGATTAATAGATAATATATAGTTATGGTACTATTGTACTTACCTAGTTATTAATAATAGTAAAGGAGCAAAGGGAAGGCCAGACATTATAGGCATGTTCCCTGCAAAACATTAGGAGAAGGGGACCCTTCAAAGTGAAGATAGACATGTCCAGTAAAGTTGGGGTGGCAGGGAAGGTGTTGTCTTTCAATCACACCTGGGAACAGAGGTCTTTGGCCAGAATGGGCGTAGCCACTGCCAGCACGCAGACCTTTGGGGAAATATAATCCCTTGAACAAAGAAGCTTGCTCGTATGGTCTTGGCCCTCTTGGAACGCATGTGACGCTGGGCTTGTGCTCCTGCTCCCCTGCATTAGCCCCCTCACAGTGGGCTAATGGACTGCAGCTAGCCTGGTGCTGACTGGACCAGCTCCAACATGGGAAGGAAACTGGACACTGGCTTTGCTTCTAGCTTTACTGACTCCCCAGCTACACTTCTACAACTGGACTAAGGGACATGGGGCTTTAGAACCCCAGGAACGTAATTCCACGGAGATAAAGCTTTCTACCATATCTCACCCTCCCGTGGGGGCCTCCGGAAATTCTTCCAGCGGCACCCCAAGGACCTCACTCCCACTAGCAGTGGGAGAAGACGAGGCACATTTTTCTCCAGTAACAGTTAATGTAATTACAACAAAATATATTTAATAATTATATTACTATAAAGTATTATATATACACTCTAACATTTGAGATGTAATATGGGAAGATTAGTGAGCAAAAAAGCTGTCCTTCATCTGGTCCAGTTTTTATTTCATGGTTTAACCATAGGTATGCTTGTATGTCTCCTCATATTGCAGTTGACACGTTATTCTTTTTTTTTTTTTTTTTTTTTTAAATATATTTTATTAATTTCTTACAGAGAGGAAGGGAGAGAGATAGTTAGAAACATCGATGAGAGAGAAACATCCATCAGCTGCCTCCTGCACACTCCCCGCTGGGGATGTGCCCGCAACCAAGGTACATGCCCCCGACCGGAATCGAACCTGGGACCCTTCAGTCCACAGGCCGACGCTCTATCCACTGAGCCAAACCGGTTTCAGCTGACACATTATTCTTGATAGTGTATGAAAATAGATGTGCTGTCCAGGGCATTGTTACCATAGTCTGAAAATTGAGTAGGTAAACTCCTATAAGCTTGCTTTAAACACAGGTGTTTCGCTTATGATTATAATTGGATTGTGTAGGGTTTCTTTGAGGGACTGAAGGGATGGTATTACATGAACCTACTACCAGACTCAAAACCATATGTAGTTAGAAGTAAGCATCCTATTAACCAGACCCTTAGTTCACCTTTTCAGAAGCAATGATCTTTTTTTAATAAAAGCTTATCTCATAGAAGCTTTTTTTCTGATACTGATTTATCAGAAAATTGGTATAATTGTGCACAATATCTGCCACATAAGTGGTTTTTATAATAGATAACAAGGTATCTAACAAAAAGTGGGGAAAGTAGGTAAAACTGTTACAGCAGTTAAAGACATCTAAGAATGTCTTAGAAGGGAAACAGATAATTAGGCATTTTGTACACCAAATTTGGATTTGTAATCAGTGTGACTAACAGAGAGTCTAAATGATTTTTGTAGCTTCTTTTTCAAAGAGGAAGCTAAATTAACTTCCTAATTATTATTATTATTTCTTTTTATTTCTTAGAGAGAGTGTGTAAGGGAAGGGGGGGAGGAGAGAGAGAGAGAGAAACTGTGAAAGAGACACATCAATTGGCTGTCTCTTGCATGCACCCTGACCAGGGCCAGGAATCGAGCCTGCAACCAAGGTATGTGCCCTTGACCGGAATCAAACCTTGGACTCTTTAGTCTGCAGGCCGACACTCTGTCCATTGAGTCATACTGGCTAGGGTCTAATTATTTTATTTCCACTGCTCTACTTTATTTAGCAGAATATGTGCCATTCACTTTTATTGGTATAATCCCACTTTAAAGTAAACTATAGGTTTACTAAAAAAAAAAAAAAAAAAATCACTTCTTTTAATATTATCTTCACCTTTAAAATAAGATTTGCATAACACCCTTACCCTCTCTAGGAGAGGAATCTATCTAAAATCTCTTGACTAAAAAAGAATATCATGGATATCTTTGAAATATGTTCTTACCATTTATTATAAAATCAACTACTACTTGTTATGTCTTAGAAAACTTGGAGTTCACAAAGCAATCTTGTTTTACCATGTTTTCCCCATAATTTCATTTCTTGAAATGTTCCATCCTTTTGTGCCAGGACGATGGAACAATCGTTCAGATAGGGTCACCCAGTCTCCAATCTGAGAGTGAGACCTAATTTCAAACCTAATAGAGTAGATAAAAAATTAAGGAACCCTGCCCTGGCCGGTGTAACTTGGTTGGAGCCTCATCCTATACAGAAAAAGGTGGCAGGTTCGATTCCGGGTCAAGGCACATATCCAGGTTGTAGGTTCAATCCCCAGTTGGAGGCAACTGATCACAGCGATGTTTCTCTCTCTCCCCTCTCTTAAAAAAAAGGGGGGGAAGAATTAAGGAGCCTCTATGGTTCCAGCTGGGAAAACAGCCTAGGTAGATAAGATGAGTTGAAAACTATACAATGAATATTGTAGCAAGTATGTGGCATGATTTTGTTGTTTACAGACTGAAAGCCAACATTTTGGGGTTTGGGGAGATTCCTTGTGTGCCAGAACTTTCTAAGCCTAACTGTAAGCTGTTATTTTAGTTCTGGTGCTTAAGAAGCTTGTGTGTGTGTGTGTGTGTGTGTGTGTGTGTGTGTGTGTGTGTATACATGTGCATGTGCATTTCAGGAATATTGTAAAGTGGCAGAGCCTTCTACAGTGTGATAGTTATTTTACAATCTCTATCATTTGTTTCCTCTTCATTTATAATATAACCTAAATCACATCATTTTTGTCTTTCTAGATACTTAGCTTCCTGTGGTATACTGATGAGCAGAACTCTTCCACTACATACCTCAGTTTTGCCCAAGGAGATATATGCAAGAACTTTCTTCAAAATTGCTGCACCGTTAATAAACAAAAGAAAGGAGTATTCAGAGAGGAGAATTATAGGGTTTGTATATAGTAATAGTTGTACTAAAGAGCAGTGTCTTTTCTATTGAGTACTGTGCCTCTTTTTTCTGGATTCTCTGCTTATAGGCTAAGTCCTGGGTTTTTTAGATTGGCCTTTCCATAGCCATTGCTTTTTGTAAATATATTTTGAGTGGATATAATTATATGTAATAATAATTAATTATATTTCAACCTTGACATGTAAAGAAAATAATTAAGCTGTTATGACCTGCATTATTATTGTACATTTTTCTTTTCTATTGTGGCACAATTACTAATATCTAGGCCCCAAATATGTTTAACTAGCTCCCTCACATACACACATACAGAGGTAAGTACATACGGACATACTAAGAGGCCCCTACCACCTAGAACCTTTTCTATAAAGGGCCAGATAGTAATATGTGGGACTTTGTGGGCCACACTGTCTCTGTTGCAACTACTCAACTCTCATTGTAGCCCCAAAGGAGCCACAGAAAATCTGTAATAGATAAAAGGGCATGGCTACGTCCTAATAGAACTTCATTTACAAAGACAAGCGTGGGGCCTGATCTAGGGGTATATGTCGCGTAGGATAGAGGTTCTGCAGTTCTGCCAAACCAGAAATACAGCATCCATCATGGAAGTTTCTACAAGGCGGTCCTAATTCCACACAGGCCATTATGCAGTACAGTATTCTTGTAAAAGTGCATTTTATTCATTTATTCAGTTGCTTTTTTTCTTCTGATTTTTCTGTAGTAAAGGGCTTTCTGCTGACTCATAACTTTTGTCGCTAAATTATCTTTATTACTGGCTAGTCACTAATAGTTAAGGTATTGCTAGCAGGTGTACGGATAAAACCCAAAAGTTTATTTCTTTCTCATGTAAAGTTCAAGTGGGCATTCCCAGTCCATGAGCAGCAATCCTCCCAAGTCGTGATTCAGAAACCCAGGCTCCATCCAACTTGTGACTTTGGTAATTTCTTAGTCAACAGAGTCTTTCTCTTTTTTTATTTTATTTTTCAACTAGTTTACATTCAGTATTATTTTGTATTAGTTTCAGGTGTAGAGCGTAGTGGTTTGACAGTCATATACTTCACAAAGTGGTACCCCCAAAATTTCAAGTGTTCACCTGGTACCATACATAGTTATTACAATATTATTAACTATATTCCCTATCCTGTACTTACGTCTCTGTGATTATTTTGTGACTATCAATTTGTAGTTCTTAATCCCTTCACCTTTTTTACCCAGCTCCCAAGCCCCCAACCCTCCGGAAACCATCAGTCTGATCTCTGTATCTATGAGTCTGTTTTTATTTGTGTTTTTTAAAAACATCTTTATGCCCTAACCGGTTTGGCTCAGTGGATAAAGTGTCGGCCTGCGGACTGAAAGGTCCCAGGTTCGATTCCAGCTAGGGGCATGTACCTGGGTTGCGGGCACATCCCCAGTGAAAGGTGTGCAGGAGGCAGCTGATCGATGTTTCTCTCTCATCGATGTTTCTGGCTCTCTGTCCCTCTCCCTTCCTCTCTGTGAAAAATTAATAAACTATATTAATAAAAAATAAAAACATAAAAGCATATCTTTATGATTTCAGAGAGGAAAGGAGAGGGAGAGAGAAAGAGAAAGATCAGTGACGAGAGAGACTCACTGATTGGCTGCCTCCTGCATGTCTCCTACTGGGGATTGAGCCCATAACCCGGGTATGTGCCCTGACTAGGAATCAAACTGTGACCTCCTGGTTCATAGGTCGACGCTCAACCACTGAGCCATGCTGATTGGGCATGAAATGTGCTTTTTTAATATAACAATTTATGATAAACCTCTTTGCTCTAGCAAGCATATGAAACTCAAAGGCTAACATGGGCCAAATAAACAAGGTTTAAGTTTATGTGGGCCACAAAAAAACAAAAGCTTCAATTTTCATAGAAACGTAGGTTTTTTTCGATAGAGACATGCTGAATACAAAGGGCTGAAATAAAGGAGTCATCGTTAACATAAAATAATAGAAAATGTTAATAAAAATTTATATTTTTTTCTTGAACATTAACTTACCAGACACTGAATAACTGCACAAATTAATAAGCGTAACACAAATAAACCTATTTTTTTTGTTCTCTGAAAGTGAAATATTTCCTGTTACGCACACCAAACAAGTCAGTACAAGACTAATGATGTGGCAATCGGCTGCTAAAATATTCACTGCTAGTATAAGTGGAGAAAAATGGTGTGCCTGTGCGTAAGGGAAATTAATGCAACATGATTATAGTAATCAGTTATTAGCGAGTGTTGTAGTTCATTATTAATAATTATGTATAACAGGATATTATAAATATTAAGTTACGAAATTTTTATTAAAACTTTTCTTACATACCGTTATATTGTCTGGGCAGCAAAAATATTCATTGTGGGCCGTGAGTTTGACGTGCTTGCAAGTCTAAAGGATATATTTGATCTTTTAAATAACTGAGACAGAGTTCTACAATGTGTGTACCAGAATTTATTAATCATTTATTACTATCATATTAAGCATTTATTAATGTCTAACAACTAGTAAACATTAAGTTTTTTTTCTCACAAACTCAATTTTTCAGTGCTGGCCATTCACTAAAATTATAAAAAGTACATCTGCAAACCAGATCCAGCCTGTGGTGTGCCAAATTATGACTCTGCTATGAATGTGTATTTAGCTCCTTTCATTCTGTGTTGCTTTCAGGTCATTCATTTTAGAGTATGTATGGTTCAACATGTCCCAAATGATTTGTCTCATATGCAATAAGTTTTATTTATATTCAATTTAAAGTATATGTGTACCATATAACTAAATGCAGTTAACAGTTCTTTTCTTTTCTTTAAAGATACTCTATGCAGGAAATGTATGATGTAGTAGCAGGAATGGAAGATTACAAGCATTTTGTTCCGTGGTGCAAAAAATCCAATATAATATCCAAGAGATCCGGATACTGCAAAACACAATTAGAAATTGGATTTCCACCTGTAGTGGAGCGCTATACGTCTGTAGTAACCATGGTGAAGCCACATTTGGTAAAGGTAATTGTTTTACTTATTTTAAATATTTCCCAAATATTGAGTATATAAAATGGGTTCAAGTGTAATTGATTTAAAAGATTTTCCTAAACTAATAGAAGAGGAGGAAAATAACCACTAAAATATGAAAATGAGCTTTTTCCCTTCTTTCTGATGAAGACTATCACTCACAGGAAAGAGTGGGCCACACAGTGAGAAATGTTTTAAGTTCACCTTTGCACTATTTTTATTTTTTTAATGAAGGAAGGTACAAAAGATAAATGTGGAGGGCATAAATATTGCTATGGTCCTGCCATGTACCAGGTACTGAAATGCCAGCTGCTGTTGCATGTGTTACATTAATCCTCTCACCCTTGTCAGCAGAGGGTACACATATAGGGAAGGTACTGAAAAGGCAGGTTCCATGGGGTAATACCAATTTCCTTTGAATTCCTAGAGTGTGGTGACACAGACTTTTACAGCTGAGTTATGTTTTGTGCCCACAGGATTAGGTGGTGATACCATTTTTTGGTAATTGGCCAGAGCTAAGCACCTTTGTCAGTTCTTTGTCAGGCATTGAATGAATTGTAACTCATAGTAGAAAGCGTATGCTTGCTCAGTGAAGCGAAGACCTTCAAGTCCACCCTAGTCTCACTCTCAAACCTTGAACTCCACTTAAAAGACTGTGTTCCATTCTGGGATTTTGCCATTAGTATGAATGTTTTAGAGTTTTTACCTACTATATGTAATTGCCTCTCTTACAATAGCTATAATTTAAATAGCTACTGATTGAGCTATTTGTAATACTTTAGTTGAATTACTCATTTAATCTTCACCACATTCCTTTGAGATTCAAATGTTATTGTTCTTATCGTATAGTTGAGCAAAATAAAGCTCAGAAGAGTTAGATAACTTGCCCAAAGTTATAAAGTTTTTATAAGACTCTATAACTCAGTCTTTCTGATATCAATGAATATCTCTGTAATCTTTATTCCCTGACTTCAATCTCCTACCATTTAAACTCTTTTAACTTAAATCTTAAAATATTATAGGTGTCTAAAAGAACTCTTAAAAAAAATCACGTTTTCTCCCTCTGGCTTTCTTCTCTTCCCTGGCTTCTTAACACATACAGGATAAAGTCAGTCGTTTTATTGTCATGGGCCCATCTACTCCACCATCCTCCCTCACACACAGCATCACAACTAATGTTCAGGCAGTACCACACACCTTAAAGCGCCATGGCTGTCCCATACAGTGCTTCTTCCACAGCCCCGTGCCTTTGCATGTTGCTCACCAGTCTACCTAGAATGAGCGACTCCTTGCCGTTAATTCGTCAAACTCCAGCTGTCTGGTGTTGCTTCCTCCTTTTCCTTTCATGTAGATAGTCAGCTCCCCCTCTGATTTCTCTGGGCTGTTTACGTGCTTTATTTATCTCTTCACACGCAATGTGATTAGTTCTTCATCTGGGTTTCTGCTTGACAAGATTGAGCTCCTTGAGGGAATGGGACATCCTCTTTTTCCTCTCTCCCCTCAGGAACAGCACTACAATGATGGGAGCCATGAGGGCTCCTTGCTTACGAACATCTCACTACTGCGTTCTTGGGTTATTGCAGACCTAGAGATGCTAATAATAATGTCGGGAAATTTCAACACTGTGGAGGAGGGAGGAAACTATTAGAAAAAGTCATAATAAGTGTATTAGATGATCATTGCTAGCTCAATTTTATGAGGCTTAGAGAAATTAAGAACCTTACACAAATTCATTGTATGTGTCATATTCCAAAACTTTTTCCATTAAAATGGAAGTGAGCTGCCTCACTTAATGTGCTAATTGTTTAAAGATATACTTGAGAACAACACAACTCTGTATGCTCAGTTTTCAGTTATCCATGGGCTCAGGTACTGGATTATAATACCTAATACACATTTATTTATAACATGCAGTTAAAATCTTTATAACCAAGAGAGGAGCAGAAGCCCTGTGAATGATTAGCTTCCCAAAATATGCCTGTAACTTTATGTGCCAGTTATAATGTGTGAGTCTACATGAATCTGTAATGGCCTGAAGCCCTGCGACTTCTCAGCAGATTTAATAGAGGCAACAGGTCAGTGACTCTCACTGCCTAGTTCACAACATAAACATCTTATATGGCATAGTTTCTATGGCCGGCGTCAGCTGTTAGAACACCTCCTGTGGTCAGCCTCTCTGCTGTCAGGAATGAGGTCTTTGGTAGTGATGTCCCTTTCAACATGTAGCGTAAACATCTGTCCTTGGGCTTGGTGATCCGTGTGAGTGCACCACTGCCACATTTTGTGCCCGGGTAGAGGAAGGTGCTGCATTGTATGGTCTTCTCAGCAGCTGTTCTACATTGTTACATTCCCTAGGCCTAGACGCTTCTTATGTGGTTGTAAGAAAGGTAGAATGTATTATCTTAAAATTGGGTAGCTGAAATAAAGATTTTACTATAGACTTTTGATGTGCTTAAAAATTAGCTGGTCATTGTTGAACTGTATATATAAAGCCGAACCTTAAAAAAACTTTTTAAATGTTTTTATTGATTTCAGAGAGGAAGAAAGGGAAAGAGAGAGAGAGAGAGAGAGAGAAACTTCAATGATGAGAGATAATCATTGATCAGCTGCCTCTGGCACATTCCCTACTGGGGATCGATCCTGAAACCTGGGCATGTACCCTGACCTCCTGGTTCATGGGTTGATGCTCAACCACTGAGCCGCACCAGCTAGACTAAAGCGGAATCTTTTGAAGAAAATTTTCACTTCTCCCCAGTGACTTAACAAAATGTGACTAAATTCAGCTATTAAAGTAGTATTTCTGAAATCAGTAATAAATATATTTTAAAAAGTAGTATTTTAATGACTATTATTTTACAATGTCTAAATGAATATTAAGACATTCACTTGTTTCCATTTTGATAATTAAATTATATTTTTGATAAACATGTAAATGTTTATCAAACATTTCTTTATAAATACTTGTTAGTATGGATGTAGTTGATCTTCGTAATGATTCTACCATGTTACCATCTGATAATTGATTCAAAGGGAATTCAATGAAGAGGAACTGAGGCATAAACTGCAAATCAATTTTTAACTCTTTGGCTCCCAGTTTGAACTGTCTGTGGAGAGATCCAGAATGGTCAGAAATTCTATGTTTGGGAGGTTATAGCTAGGGAAGAAGAAGCGATGGTTTACTTTGCGGAAAGTGAGTTTACCTATGCAAGTCCTTATTTGCTAATCTGTAGTGTATAGCACCAGGGGAGGGACATTATAAACTCTTGAGGGAATAAGTTATCAAAGAGAAAAGGGTAGAGGAGCTTAATCATTTATTAGCTCCAATAAATGCCAGAAGAGCTGAAAACATAAGGCTTAATTGAGGAGGTTTTTTTGTTTTGTTTTTTTAATGGTCTGCTGCTGAGGGAAAGTGGTATGTATTATTGAGGTCAGTTGTCTACTAGTATAAGGCCCACATAGCATCTTAGGATAGTAAATAACTTCATTCAAGGTCATAACCCACTCTAACAACGAACTAATGACTGTGGTCTGGCCTCCATTTTTCACACAGCAGAAGGCAAACTCTTCAGTGGTTCTCAGTGCGCACTGGAAAGGTCAGAGGTCAGGCACAAGAGTCAGGGCCAACCTTCCATGAAAACTGGAGCCAAAGAGGCCTCTAGAAATAAAGGATAATGAGTGAAGGATGTGATTGATAAGAGAGAAATCTTTGGGTAGGAAAGAAGATAAAATTTTCAAAAGGATCTGTGCCAGATACCTTATAACTGTTTAGCCATCTTAGAGTGATGATATATGACAGATATTATACTCATTTTGCAGATTAAGGAATTAACTTGTTCAGGATAACTTTTAAGTGGCAGAGCTGGAAATAAACTTCCAGAAAATCACTCTGTTTTGCGGCTGGAGGAGAGAACTCCAAATAGCTCAGTGGGTGCGACAGTGGAAGAGAGAACAGCTGGCAACCTTGAGGGTTCCAGGGGGAAAAGAAAACGCTCATATTGGCAAGAGGTCACTTCCTAGTACCAAGCTAAAAGTGAGAAGTTTTCATCACCCGTGGTCTGACTATAAAAATACTTGCTTTTCTTTATTTTTTTTTAAATTTTTTTTTTTTTAAATATATTCCATTGATCTTTTACAGAGAGGAAGAGAGAGAGATAGAGAGCCAGAAACATCGATCAGCTGCCTCCTGCACATCCCCCACTGGGGAAGCGCCCACAACCCAGGTACATGCCCTTGACCGGAATCGAACCCGGGACCCTTCAGTCCGCAGGCCGACGCTCTATCCACTGAGCCAAACCGGTTTCGGCAAAATACTTGCTTTTCAAGAAGTCATCCTCCATTACAGATTCTGGACAGTCCAAGTGGTACTTTACTGCAGCTGTATTTTGCATTTTGTTCTAGGCATCCTGCACTGATGGGAAGCTTTTCAATCATTTGGAGACAGTTTGGCGTTTTAGCCCAGGTTTGCCTGGCTACCCAAGGACTTGCACCTTGGATTTTTCAGTAAGTGCTCATATCACAAAGCCCTTCATTGGTTCCAAATATCAGCTGAAGTTGGTAAAAAAGGAGTAATCCATTTATTAGAGCCCATTAATATGCCATTATTAATAATATTATTCAAATAGCAATTACTGAAAACCACTTTTTTAAAATCTCAAATTTTTGAGTATCGAATTTCTTTTTCTCTAATTTTATAAGAATATTAATCTATTGTATTTCTTGAGACCTTGAATAACAATTCCTTCTCTACTTTCTAATTTTTACAAGTTCATAGGTTATAAGATATAACTTAACACCAAATGAAATTTACACATTGATCTGCATCTTATGATGCAGAAATAAAGTGCAAAAGGAACAAATATGTTTTTAAAATCTAGGGACTGAGGTATTTTCTTGTTCACATCACCTTAGTTATACCACTGTGGCTTTTTCTTTGCCAACAGAATATATTTGCTGTTTATATTTGCAACTCAGGCATTACTTTTTAAGAAATGGTCATATTAATGGTCATAAATTTCTACATGCTGTTCTCAGCTCTTGAATTGCTTTCATTAAAATATTAGTGGACATGAATGGGGCAGTTAGGGACATTTGAATTAGACCTGTGTAGATTAAATAACAGCATTATCATCTAATAAAATTAACTCCCTCTGTTAATTTCTGGTTTTAATGCACTGCGGTTATAGAATACATTAAAACAGGGGAATCTGGTTGATGGGTTTATGAGAAATCTTTGTACTGTTTTTGCAACTTTTTAAAAAATCTTAAATTATTTCAAAATGAAAAATTAAAAGTTCTAAAACTTAGTAGCTATTTGGTCCTTAAAATACTACTACTCAAAGCTTACCTGAGTTCTCTCTTGAGGGGATATAAGTTCACTGTCTACTTTGACATTGAGCCACCTACCCCATCTGTTTGGTGGATCGGTCTTACCTCCTTGCTGCTACTTCCCAGGTGAGGGAGTTGCTTTTCTTCCTTATTTCCTACTGGGAGGTAGGTAGATCTAAAAGGGACCCTTTCATAGGAAGCCAGAGTAATAAACATGGTATTCAGCAGACTTTTCCCACATTTTAAACTTAATAAAAGCTGGCTTTGCCTTGAGTCGTTGGTCTTGTTAACTTATGTTTGTTTTGCCCACAGTTGTGCTTGTTGTAGTAAATATGACTCCATCTTCTGAGAGGTGTTTAAAAATCTCATCGAGATAGGCCCATCCAGCTCTGCCTTCCACACTGGGCCAAAGAGCCCATTTCACAGTGTGAACACAGTGCCCTAACTAGAGAGTTAGTGAGAGAAAGATCTTCCTAAGTTAATTGTGAACATTTTCCCACAGGTTTCGTTTGAATTCCGCTCACTTCTACATTCTCAGCTTGCCACATTGTTTTTCGATGAAGTCGTAAAGCAGATGGTAGCGGCCTTTGAAAGAAGAGCGTGTAAGCTGTATGGTCCAGAAACAAATATACCTCGGGAGTTAATGTTTCATGAAGTTCATCACACGTAAAAAAAGGAAAGAACTGGAACTGGTCACCTACTCGTGACTTCAGTGTGTTCACTTTTAGAACGTGCTTTTATCATTTGCTTTCAGAAGCCAGAAAGCATTTGTTCAGCCCAGCTTTGGTTATAAACCTGCACCATCGAAAATTTGCACTTGGAATATGGAAGCACATGTACATAGAATTCAATCACGTATAATTCAAAGTAATGCGTACATTAGCATATTTACAGTCAATGGGATGTCATCACTATTGCTAGAATACTGACATCACTCTTCTGAGAGAAATTGAAACTAAACTTAAACCTTTTAGTTATCACTTTATCCAAAAGAGGTTAGTGGAGATACTCATGTAGTATATATTATAATGACCATATCACGTTTAAGTTATTAAATTCAGACTATTTATAACTTACTGTCATAGGGTTAGGATATTTGCATAATCATCAGATACTTACAGTAAAAACATTGACTTAACAATACTGTTCATGAAGGTTCCTTGGTACCTTTTTAAAATTGTTCTGATGGTAGTAGGAGATAATTCAATGCTACAGTGAGGTTAGCTCCCTGATAAACTCCTGGCTTTTTTGGTGAGTGGTCCAGAGCTTTACGCTACATTTTTTATAGTTTGCAACCCTCTCCCAGGTACTTTGCTCTGTCAACAATGCTGATCGTGTGTCAAATTGTGTCTACAGCAGTGGGCAACATGAAGAGAAGTTGGCTGCTGTCTCCAGCACCATGCATCCCTATTTTCTATTTATTGTGTATACTCACTTTCAATAATGTATTTCAAACTGATATTTTTGTATACAAATCAATGTAAGGACTGAAGTGGTAACTTAATAAAGTTAATTTGTTTATTTTGTAGTTATTTCGGTTATTGAAATCTTCCTGTCTCAGTGTGTATTTACATAGACATAGTAAAGTTTAATTATAGCATTTATATCTTTAGAATACTTTCACAGAGACAAATCTGGACAAAATTCAGACTTTTAATCAATGTTGATCATCTTCCCTCCTCTCACTTCATACCCAGTAGCCCTCTAGCATTACCTTTCCAGTTAGAGTGCTATTAACTTTGTTTCCTCAGATCAGTTAGGGGCCTCGATACTTAGTTCCCTGCATCACTATTGAATACAGGGGTCTGGAGCACCTGATAGAGAGTCTACAGACTCATTCCACTCACAGGGAGCATGGTTGTGTCCTCACAAAGGTAGAGCAGTGTCTTCTCACTCACAGGTTCTCTCCCAGAGCTGCAGTAGTTCCTATGTAATTATGTATCTTTGATAACAAAGTTTTTTTAAAATAGCAAAGTCCCAGGTATCTTTTTTCTCTGTACAGTACTTCTTTTCATGGAAATAGAATTTGTACTTTAACACTGCTCTCCCAGACACCATAGGTAAACTCTTAGGTTCAGAATCTAACTTAGCGCTTAGGCTGTAGACAGCCGTGGGCAAACTACGGCCCGCAGAATCCGGCCCATTTGAAATGAATAAAACTAAAAAAAAAAGACCGTACCCTTTTATGTAATGATGTTTACTTTGAATTTATATTAGTTCACACAAATACTCCATGCTTTTGTTCCGGCCCTCCGGTCCAGTTTAAGAACCCATTGTGGCCCTCGAGTCAAAAAGTTTGCCCACCCCTGCAGCATGTAGCTGGTGTTTTGGTGAGGGAACCCTGGAATACGTAATATTGCCTAGATCTAGCCATCCCTTTTGACCCATGAGGTTCAAGTATGTCCAGAACCCGAGACAGGATATAAACCCAAGCCTTCTGGCCTAATATCAATGCCCCTGGGTGCTCCATCTAGTCCAGTCTAGAGGCCGTGACTGTGGACCTACAATCGGCCAACTATACTTTCTGCATTATAAGGGGGAAGCAACACCCCTTTCTCCTTGAAGTGGCACCTGGTGAGTGGAATTGGGGTGGGGAGATGCTACTGAGATGAAACCGGTAAGATTTTTCTCTGGAAATGTCCTTGGTTTTTGCCTGGTTGACTGAGGACATCCTCACAAAGAGGGGAAAGGTAATTTTTCCAGAGAAGGCAACTCAGAACTCTTAATAAACCAACCTTGCAGTTGTCAACCTGGCTTGTACATAATTGTAGCAAGAGTTTAGCAAGTGTTCCCTAATCCAAGATTGTTCAGAGGGTTAAAATAATCCAAGCATTCAGGCCCAGCACTTACTTTTTTCTCGTTAATCTCTTTAGGCCCCAGTCATTCTAACAGCAACTAGAAATCTCAAGTACTTCCCATTCCGTTTCTTCTAATCAACTAACTGCAAAATTGTTTTTAGGTGCAGGATTTTAAGTGATTAGGCTTTTGACCTGTGGTGGATTGTATTTTTCCATTTTTGCCCGAGCTATGTATACAAGATAAGGACAGCGGAAACGTTTGCCTCAGTGCCTAGCTTACACCAGACTACAGAGCAGGCCCAGGGCTTTCCTGAGGAGTTCCTTCCCACCTAGAGCAGATCAGGTGCTACAGCTCCAAGCTAGACTAGGCTAGTCCCTGACCCAGATGAAAATAAAAATTCAATTAACGTTAAACAAATTTTATTACACAAAGGTCACATAATTGGTATTTCTCTACTTTGTACACAATTATTCTTACTCTCCACAGAAAGGCTGCTTCTTCACTTCTCATCGGGTGATGGCAAGCACTAAAATCCTGATTTTAACAGAATAGTAGTAAAAATGCCTCAGTGATTTACATTGAAAGCAGTACATTGGTACATGGCTCTTGCACTTATCAGGAATGTACAAATGTATTTTTATTCAAAAATACAAAATAAATTATCTGTAGGCATGGACAATGACAGCAGTAAACCATTGTATGTTGTCAACTGAAACCAGTAACTGATGGTTAGAGTGATTTTCTTGAACATCAGCCAGCCTTTTCTTCAGTCACTTCCTTCAACTGACTTCTCTGAAGTTATAGGTGAGGAGATGCCCTGAGCTTCCTCTCAGTCCTCAGTGATGATGGTAAAGCTCTATTCCAGGGCTAGAACATGCCGCCTCCCATCCCTCCTCCCATGCCGCCCATCCCCCCCATCCCAGGGTCCTTCTCCTCTTTGGGAAGTTCTGTGACCACAACTTCTGCTGTTGTTAACAGAGAGGCCACGCCAGCAGCATCCAGTAAAGCAGTTCTTACAACCTAGGGGAAGAGTTTTGTAAAATAGCACTTTTTACTTAGTAAATTAAAACGGAGGACTTATTAAAAGACTTTTTAGAAAGTGATCAGCTACTTACCTTAGTTGGATCAATGATTCCTTTTTCCACCATATTCACAAATTCTCCAAGCATGGCGTCATAACCAATTTCTGAGGAACCTTGCAAAATTTTCTCAACTATCAACGATCCCTCAACACCTGCATTCTTAGCAATGGTCATTGCAGGAATTTTTAGTGCTTTCTTAATAATTTCTATACCTATAAAGAAAACAAATTTTAGCCACCTTATTTCTTTCTTTTATAAATATTAAAACAGAATTCAACTTGTGAGAGTATTGACACAGGAAAATTACAATTGGAATACACTACAGGCCAAATCATTTCCCCTGAAAATGATGATGCATCTTCATCTCTTGACATCAGTGCTATTGTACTTTTGTTATTCTGGAAATTGCTTTGTGATTTACTGTCCCATTTAGTGGGCAACATTATTCTAACAGAAAGACTAAAAACAGGATGCAAATAAACTCATTTTAAGTTAACTTTTTTACCAATTTTTTGATCTTCATTAGTTGGAGTTAAAGAGTCCAAGGCTGGAATGCACCGAAGCAGGGCACAGCCCCCTCCCAGAACAATGCCTTCCTCCACAGCAGCTCGGGTGGCATTGAGGGCATCTGTGACTCTGTCTTTCTTTTCATTCACTTCCACATCACTTGTCCCACCGACCTGAAGATTAAAGTCAGTCCAGTTAGTACGGCTTCTCTGACTCAAGATGCTGACAGCCAAGGGTCATTAGCACCTAATTTACTTAAAAGCTTAAATAACAAGTATCTCCATGAGGAAGCTAATCCCCTGAACAAGAGCCCAAGAAATCAAGCATGAACTCTTACCTTCAGCACAGCTACCCCATCTGAGAGTTTGGCCAGGCGTTCATTTAGTTTTTCCTTTTCATATTCACTAGTTGTGGTATCTAACTGCTCGATGATTTCTTGAATACGTTTTTCAATCTGAGCCTTGTCACCTTTTCCTTTCAAGAGCATGGCATCATCTTTGGTCACAATGACCTCTCCAACTTTTCCTAAGTCATGAGGCTGAACGTCTTCTAGGTTGAGAGTCAAACCTTCTTCTCCAAACACCTAACAAAAACATTGAAAAAGAAGCAAGTCTCAGTGATGGTTTTTCCATTATACTAAATGTTTATTAGTAACACAGCATGCAGTGTCTTTTTTTTTTTTTTTAAATATATTTTATTGATTTTTTACAGAGAGGAAGAGAGAGATAGAGAGTCAGAAACATCGATGAGAGAGAAACATCGACCAGCCGCCTCCTGCACATCCCCCACTGGGGATGTGCCCGCAACCCAGGTACATGCCCTTGACCGGAATCGAACCTGGGACCTTTCAGTCCGCAGGCCGACGCTCTATCCACTGAGCCAAACCGGTTTCGGCCAGCATGCAGTGTCTTAATGAACAAAACAAAAAATCTTGTTTTACTGTTATTTATTTGAAATGTGAGATTTTCAGACCACTGAGTATAGTCTTCCATTGCATTTCCAACTTCTCACTTAACCCTCAATATTTGAGCTTTATATGAGAAAAGCGTAAACTCAGGAAATTATCCAAGGTCACACTTTTGGTGGAACCAGAACTAACTCATAAGTCCCCTGTCTTTTTACTATATTCTTAAAACTAGATTAGTCAATAAGGTAGAGAAGGGAATGTGGCACAGCTTAACCCAGCCTCCACCTCCCCGACATGCAACAGAAACAGAGATTAAGTAAGCAGTTCAGTTGGCAATTCTGTGATTGTAAAAAGTGTAAATTCTACATATTAACTTTAGACCTGGAAGTATAAGTAACATTCCGTAAACCACACCACATTTATGTTACTTACAGCACCACCAGTAGCAATAGCCATGTCTTTAAGCTGGTTCTTCCTATTGTCTCCAAAACCTGGAGCTTTGACTGCTACAACCTGAAGACCAACTTTTAGCCTGTTAGGAACAGTAATTAATAACAGTTAAGTTAAAAACAAAGGTAACTATTTCACAGACTGAAAAATGAGAATTATTAAATTTGAGGGTCATCTAATCAGCACTTACCCCATGGGTTCCATATAGTATTAGATTAAGTTGCTATTAAAGTTTGAGCAAGCAGTGTTCTTAATTTAGTGCCTTTTTAAATGTCAATGTTGCTAATAGCAATTTGAGCAGGTAATGAATACTTAGAATATACAATCAAAGAAATGTTCCCTTGAGACCAGATTGAGAAACAAAAGGAATACACACACTTCAAGACAGCTGGTCTATTTTACTAAAAAAAGTCAAATAAAAATCAGAGTGGATAAGCTTTAATGATATGGCAAGTAAATAAGACATCCAACTTTTCAGCTACCAATAAAAATGGCCCAATGGAAACTCTGTAAGCCTATTGTTTTTGTTTTTATGTTAGCTTCAAATTCCACAATCTCTAAGGCTTTTTTTAATAATCCAAAATGCAAATCCAAGCTAACAATCATTCCAGGATAAGTAAACTCAGAGCTTTTGGATCAGGTCAAGGTGTGTAATCTCTAATACATACATACCTATTTCATTTGTGCATTTCCATTAAAATAAAATTGGAAAACCTTACTTCTGATATACCTCAATTCTTACCTTAAGAGTACATAGTTTAGTAATGCCCTAAGATTCTATTT